GATGTCAAACAAATTCGGATGGTCTCTCAAGTCCATATCTGTGATCTGATCTTGTCAACGACTCTCCGTTCTCAAGTAATTCTGAAAACAAATCTGTTAATTTAACTTAATCGCCCTGCAGAGGAAATCGATATTCAATAGTTTAATGTAAATCTTTGACTTCTCCGTGTTTGTTGGTAGCTTGGCGTTAAATTTCATGATGGACAGTCATCAAATGACAGTAGTTATATTATGTCCTCTTCCAGCACAAACTCACACTCCAGATCAAAGTTTCTAGGTAGAATTTTTTTTTTGAATTCTTAGATAAATTTATTGGCGCGAAATTCGAGTTTTTTCAAAGTTTTAAATATGAAAATGAATGTTTTTAATGATAGGAGCCCTCCAGGATTTTCTTTAAACTTTCCTGGACCTTTCGAGCAGTGAAATACAAGCTGCACTTTTTATTGTGTTCAGAGAGTTTGTGAGGTATTCATTGGTCTAACTTTCGCACTTTTCCTATTTGTTTGAGATGACGACCGATTGATGTCGAAATTCCCAAAAAAGTTCTGTTATGGTTAGCAATAAGTTCAAAGGGATTATCTCGTCCATATTTCCATGTAGTTAAAGGAGCAGTTAATTCTAATATATATATATGAATGAATGTTTGCCTCGCTTAAAAAGTTTCATCAATAAATATCATCATGAAGATAAGGTTTTATTCTGGCCTGACTTCAACATCTCACTATGCTAGAGTAACTCAAGAGCGACTCAAAAAGTTGAAAATTGAATTCGTACCACGAATTTCAAACCCACCCAACTGTCCACAGCTTCGTCCGATCGAAAAGTTCTGGGCCATTTTGAAATCGCGAGTTTATGCTGGTGGTTTCAAAGCAAAATCAGAATCAGAATTGATAAAAAGGACCAAAAAAACAATCAAAAACCTCGAACCTACACTTTCCAACACTTTAATGGCCAACTTACGCAAGAAGGTTCGAAAAGCTGAAGACAATGGAATTTTTTCAGTTCTATGATAATATTTTTTTTGCTCATGATAATTTCTATCTTTTCTGAAAAAATCATCCATTAAACTTGCTGGTGATGGTGTTGGTGGTGGTTAGGGTGGTAATGAAGGTTGAGTTGAATCAATTTCTTGGTCTTATAGATCACCGATAGCCCGAGCAACACGATTCATGAAGTTTTCTATGAATAATTTATGATCAGGGTCCAGATTATAATTCGCGTATATGTCACGGGTCTCAATTGGATCGTAGATTAAACTCATGTTCAGGATACACTTTTATAAAACTTGGTGAACTTATTAAACTTATTAATCTTAAGGGAACTAGATGATTAAATTAACTGATAAAGGTTTATATAACAAAGAAAGAGTTCCAACATTTATCTTGGATAACTCGGTTAGGGATGATTTTTTGTCTTCAAGTATTTAGACTTCAGATTCGAGTTATGGAAGTTTGGGTGATACATAATTGTCATATTTTAAGATTATTCAAGGACAAATACTTATTAAGGCTTCTTCGGACTTTCAAGGTCTCCTAAAGGTCATTTCGAGTTCTATTCTATGTACTAATGTTATCACTATGAATAGATCATCAACATAATGATAGTGTATAAGCTTCCAACCGACCATAGAGTTATCATCACCGTCAACATGAGTATTTAAACAGTCGCATCATTATTTCTTAGCATTCATTTACAGTGAATAAACGTTGTATTCGTTGTCCTTGTTCAATAGAGAAAACAAGATCAAGATAAAAATTAAATTAAAAATCTATGTTAATAGCAAATTAGAATTTGTTTCGTTTTCTGTGAATCACTCATAATATTAATAGATACAAAGAGGTTATTGATCTTAATCAGCATAATTACTATTTTCGAGAGTTAACTTTGAACCATAACAACTTTTAATCTCAATCTCAATCAAACTAATAGTGTAAGATATGAAATAATAATAATCTAGTAAACTAATTAATATTAATAATAATCGTTAAGCTCATTTATCATATGAATTTATCATGTTAATTTTTCAACAGAAAGAAAGAGAGAGAGAGAGAGATCGATGATAATTTATGAGAACGAATATTTAATATTCCAATTCATAAAAGTTAAACAGTTCATCTAGTACAGTGTAGATAATACCGATTAAATCACAGATTATCAAGCTGACCTATTGCTGGGCTCATGTGAAAAATAACATTTAAAGTCAATATTGAGCATCTTGATAGCCATGGAGACCTTACCTTTACATCATAGAGATGCAAATAGTTTCTCTCACTTAAATCATCCACCCACCAATAGCCATTGGTCATCATCTCCACCATCACACTAATTCAATAAATGTCTTAGGAATGGTTTCAGCTACACACTGTTATTTTTCCTCTCACTTTTTCGTTTCCACTTACTTAATGTTACATATCAATTCCTCATAGAATTAAGCAAAAAAGTAGTAGACAGTTAATAATGAGCAACCATTGTAATTATATTAACGTTCATTATAATGAGATGGTTTTCAGCTGAATAGGGGAATAGGTTACCTGATGAAATGTAGCAAAGAGTAAGATAGAAGTAAAAAAACCACTATTACAATAATATGATTGCTAATTGTTTCCAATGGTTAAACTTTATCTTAATGTGAATTCAACTCAATTCAGTTATTTACCAGATTCATGTTACATTCAGGTGATAATTTCATCAAGATAATCAACACTTCATTGATACTAATTCATTTTAATGGGAATTGTAACTTTGTATAATATAGACTATCACCTTTCAAGTAAATTTGATTTACATGTTGGATTGAAAAAAAAAGTTACAAATCCAATTGATTAACTTTACATTGTATTATCAGGAAAAAATATCAAATGAATCAATGAATTTGATTTAATTTCTTTCATTTACCACCAATGATTAGCAATCTTATTGGAATTATATATTCAACTAATTTAATGGAAAATTTTTCAATCAATGTAATATTGAATTTAAATGTGATCCTTTCATGAAAAGTTTATCAAAATTATTATTATGGATCAACTTTTGAATATAATTTTTTAATCGGTTTGAAACTTTTTTTGTTGTTTTGATTGGGTTATTAATGGATTAGCCTTCAATGGATTATGTTAATCTCTTAGTTGTTCAGATATGACTTGACTTTTCAATTTGATCAGATTATTATTATGGTCAATACCATATTACCCGGAAGGTTTATTATTTTTCCATTAACCTTTGATCAGCTTTGAAATGTTCACCTGATATTATTCATGATGATCATGCTAGAATAATAATCAGAACTTATGGAAATACTGATTGAACTTGAATCGTGTTACTATGAAAATCTAACGATTTAACCTGTAAATCTATAGCTTGTTTATTAGGTAACTCAATCATGGAATTTTTAAAATGTGAATTCAGTTCAGTAGAAAAAAACAAACAATTTCTCTAATCTCTTAATTTAGAACTGGAATCAATAACAACAAATCAGCATCAGATCGATAATCATGAAGATCTGTTAGATTACCTTTCGCTATAATGATCATAACACTGATCTTATTTTTCATCTGAAAGTGATATCAATCTTGATTTATTGAGTAATTTCATCACCACAAAATCACCATGAAATCCACTAGTTTCCCAAAGAAAAAAGCAGCATCCCTTCAATCATGATCATCTCCAAGATTATGATCAGATAAACGCAATAATCGTCATTTATTATATAACTATTATTATTATTATTTGAATTTCCAGCAAACTGAGTAACAGTTTTTCATGAATTTCAGAATTTTATCTGAAAAAAATTCCAACAATTTCAACCCCAAAACATGTATGAACTTTTCTCATATAATAATCTGTTCTGTTTACAGTTGAATCAACAACAGGTTAACTTAAGGCATGAAAATTTCATGGTAACGATTATCCTAAATTCATTTGGGAGCAAAAAGTTCATTGGAATCGTGAATTGTTTTCGGTACATAGAAAATCATATTTATTGTTATCTACTTGTGGCCTTTTATTTTATCTTTTTCTCAAGATGGAATAACAATCAAAGTTTCTCAAAACTAATGTTCTAATTAACTTTCGAAAGAACTAAGAAACGTTTAGAAAAAGGAAACAAAAAACAAATTCGAAGAGAAATTATTCGAAAATAGAATAAATCAAGATTATTTTTCTTTTAGAACTTTTCTCTTTTATTTACATTATATTATTATTATTCTTATGAGTTTCACATTCCTAGTGTATTATTTACTTAAGAAAAGAATAAGAAAAGTTCTAAGATAATTTGAGAGACTGGATGTCAGATTATGTGATAATCATCATGATTTTTCATGGATTTTCTCTCATGGAAAAAGATTGAATTATTTTTATTGTAGACGAACAATTTAAATTAGACTTATTAATGTATCATCAATTTTCACATCAAAATTAAATTGATCGGAATTAAATTAACGAACAATTTAGAAAGAAAATTAGATAATGATTAAATAAAGAGTATAAAAATTCAAAGAAGAAAAGTTCTGGTATGAATTTCATGAGGAATCAAAGGAAACGAAAAGAAATCAGAAAGCAGAAAGTTAAGCTAATGAAAAGTTGACATCAAGTGGATGAAGGCGAAAGATGAAGATGAAGATAAAAGATGAAAAGAAAAGAAATTAAATAAATAATATCGAAATCATCATCTTCCTCTTCTTATTTATCTTCCAATCCACTTAACTATCAATATGGATGAAAAAAGAGGAGGAGGAAGAAGAAGAGGAAAAGGGCAGAGTGAAAATCTTACCTCAAGGAGCAACAGAGAGAGAGAGAGAGAGAGAGATGATGATGATGATGAAGAAGAAGAAGAAAACAAAGAAGCTTAATGAACATAATACGAAAGGAAAAAAACTCTGACATAACAAGAAGATGATGACGAGAGATAAAAAATGGTGAGAAGAGAAAGCGAGAAGATGAGAGAAGTGGGAGTGAGAGAGAGAGAGAGAGAGTTATATTAAAGGTAGAAGATAAAAAGGTGCGTAGTGTGAATGGAAATCGCTATTGAACAAGTGAAAGTTATTCAGCTAAGATCAACATCGAAGAATCATCATCCATAAAGAGTGAGAACTAACGAGAGAGAGGAGTGAGAGAGAGAAGTTAATTCGTGAGCTAAAAAGTGAGAGTAAAAGAGGAGAAACTCAAGTAATTATAAGTCATCATTTTCCATCATCAATAAACTCAATCCATCATCATCCTGCTACTGACATATTACATTGTGAGTTACGATTTAACAAGTAAAAGGTAAATAGAAAAACAAAATTTTCGTTTCATTGTGATTTCCATTGTTAACAATCATCTTCATCATCGTCACAATTAACTTATATACAGTTTCCTTTTGAATCTCATACGACACTTTAATTTTTTGGAAAATTTGACAAACAGAAAAAGAAGAGGAGAAAATGGAGAAAAAAAATATTCGAATGTATTTCTATGCATTTATCTTGGCGGTTACCGTTATATTGAATCTATCACAACAAGCATCGGCCCGTCCAAACATGGACGAAATGGCCAACATGGCGGAAGCATTGAGATACCTTGAAAAATTGGACAAATATTACTCGCAAATGGCAAGGCCAAGGTAAGAACTTGAAACCAAATCAGATTATCCAATTAACTTATCAACAACTCTTAATCCTTGTCTTATTATCTAATATTTTCATTCTGTAAAACCGATAATCTTATAAGTTGAGTTTAGACAAAAAAGAAAAAGAAATTTTTTTTTCTTCTCTCTAATGAAATCAGTCTTCCCTTTTTGGTTATATTATTATACTTAATTTGATTGATTGATTATCTACAATCAATGATTGACTAATGATCAGATTAGTTGATTTGATTTAAAAAGGTAATGATTGTTATTGTAGCAATGTATTTGTTTCAAATTTTATCCAAATGATTAGTTTTCATATTATGTTAACTTGTTACAATTGATTAATTGATTATCTGTTACCATCTCTAAAGGTTTAATTTCACAATTAAATGCTAATTGTAAATCTGTCAATATGTTGATCTTAATCAATAATGGGTGATTGTTCAAGTGTTATGTTAAATCCTAATTATAGATGGTAATCCCCGAATGGTTAGCTAATTAATTAATTAGCCACTTGTATTATTAATCAATAAGCAATCAACTGATCAAATTAAATGAATCAAGTTTTACCTCTTCAATGGATCAGTTTCAATATCCGTTTCAAAGGTTCGAACCAAATAATAATAGTAATCGAAAGGTTCTAATAGGTTGAAAAGTAAATTCGAGACAAGAAAAGACATTTATTTTAATCATTCAAAGTTACAAGTTGATTAGTTAATTATGTGATTAGTTAATTTGATTAACACGATCAAATTGTGATCACTTAACATTTCATTTACTTGTTGTAAGTTAAATGTTTCAATAGAAAAGGTAAAAGTAAAAATCCCTCAAGAAATTTTTTCCCCAACGATTAATTTAATTGCTGACAATTAAAAATTTTGTAACTTTGACTACGTAAATGAACAGGATCAGATTTACAATTGATCGTTGAAAATTTCATAGTACTAAGTAGTAAATCGTTAACAATTAAAACTATTAATAGTAATCAACATGTGAAAACATAACAAATATCAAGTTAAAAATTAAAGTTCAAGTTGATTCAATAATTATCAACAATTAAGATCCTTTTTTCCCAATCAACATCATCATTAACAACAACATAATCATTATAATCATTGACAAAAAAACCCTTGATTTAGCCAACAATTAAATGTTAACGCTATCATCTACAGACAATTTAGTAAAGTAAAAAAAAGTTGATTATCTAATGATAATGGTATTGATTAAGTCAATGGAAAGTTCAATTTTCGGTGTAACAATTAAGGAATTTTCCTTAATTGTTACGATTAAGGTGTTTCAATTAAAGATATCCAATGATAAGTAAAAAAATACCAACAATTGGCTATTGATAAGCAGAAATAACAACAACAGCAACAAGTACAAATCAAACAATTTAATCATCATCAGTATTTGATCAATATTGTTTACTTGATGATGTGGATTAAGATGAAGATAAGGATGATAAGTGTAAAAGAGACAATTTCTCTATCATCTATTCATCACTTATCATCTTGTTATCATTTTGAGCTCACGTTCCTTGATTAGGTAATAACTGTTTACCTTTATATTAAACTTTTTCCTTGAAATATATTTACCGTTAGGTTGAGATTCAAATGTAAACATAAGGTAAACTGTAGGTCGCGTGATTTAATCAACATTATCATTATCAATAAAATAATCCTCTTGATGATCAATAATAATAATCACTTTTATTTTGATAATAATCAAATTCTGTGTGTGTGTGTGTGTGTGTGTGTGATTGCGGTTAACATGGGAAAAGTTTTTTTTAATAATCAAAATTCTGCTTCCGTTTGGTTGTTTGTTTTCAATCTGATTCATGATCATATTATATAAATGAACAATGAAATGTTCATGAGATAAGTTGAAGGTGTATTTCCATGTAAATATATCAATGGATTAGACTAATAATTAATTCAAAGTCAGAGTTTTTCTTTTCACTTCTTTTATTATCTATTCCAATTAAAATATTCATGAATTTATGTCAACAAGATGAAATCAATTGTTCCCATGATGATTTGTTTATTTTTTACTTTTGGATTAATATTTAATATTTGGAAATCCATTTAATCTGATTTCTGCTTTTTTTTTCTTAATCCCTGGTAAACAAATTCAATATTCAAATTATTCGATAACCTACATTTTCCCCTTCTCCTTTAGAACTTTAGAACTAATTTTGTTTTTTTTTCATTCTTTCTTCGATTCGTTTTTCCTTTCATCATCTTCGCACCCATAGGTTTGGACGAAGCATTTCAGATACAAGGCCAGGGAAACGTGACCCTGTAAGTATTTCAAACTGACCAGAGCTCAACGTGACCTTATGGGTCAATTTTTCTGTTCCATTTAGTTTGATGATATGAAAACACGTTCATCGGAATAATGTTATTCGAACAAGTGAAATAAGAAAAGAAATAGAATATTTTTTTGTTCGAAACATGAGTTTCTCCAAAGTCGAACTTGTCTTTATCATTATAACCCAATTATTATCATCATCATCATAACTGTCAAGAAAGAGGAAGATAAAAGTTGCATTTCCTTCAACACTTGGTCATCAAAATGATGATGATTAATGAAATTATCGAATCAATTGGATCTTTCCAATAAGAATTATCACCTTTATCTTTCCTCTCTCTCTCTCTCTTCCCCTGAAAACGGAAACGGAAACACTAATGGAATCTAATTATCACTTGTATCTCTTTTCATTCCAGTTCATCCCTATCGATCTAAACTGAAGATTACAAGAACTAATCATAATATAATGTAAGAAAGAAAAAGGAAAAAATTGGACGGAATTAGAACAAAGAGAGAACTCGAAATTAACGAAAAATTTCAAAAATTTTCGACTCGAATTCGATAAAAAACTTTAACATCATAAGAACTTTTTTTGAACAATCGTACAAATCATCATTAATCTAATCACTATTTACCACCAGAAACCCTTTCTGTTTAATCAACAACAAGTTGCCAATGATAATCAATCAACAATCAATCAGTCAATTAAAATGGTAGCGTTAATCAGTGACAATTAACTTTCCCCTTGAATTGTGTTAATTTAAATTGTTTGTAATCAAAAGTTTAATTTAATTGTCTCTTAATTTTTTTAAATTTTAGATTATCCCTTTATAAGTTTACCCAATTTTCATTTTAAATTGTATCAATTGAACATCTACATTTAATTGTAATTCATTATTATTTCTTGATTAACATCGCCTATTATATCAACAATTAAGTCAAACAATTAATTTAATCTTAAAATTTTCAAGTCAAATGAATTCAAATTACAATTAGATTCAAATGAACAAACAACACAAAAACAAAAATCTTATAACTACAATCAAGTGATTAAATTAATATATTGGCTGATTAATGTTGATCAACTACTAAATTGTAATAATGATTTGCTGTTGCTACATCAACAATTAACTGTTTCAACAACCTCAATGAAAAGAAAGTTTCAACAATCAAATCAATTGCGATATAAAATAAACAAAAATACATTCGTAGTTATTAGTTAATCAGTTGGTAATCATGAGTTTTTACCGATTCTCTGATCAAATGAATTTCATGAAAACTTCATCATGGTGAAGGGAAATTTTTTAATTAGATAAACAAATCAAAGATGATCACTTTTTTTTCCATGGAATTTACTTAAAGTTCATCAAGATGATATTTCGGTTTGATATTTTTTCATCAGAATTATTTACCAACGGAAACGAATAAAATCAAACTCCAGTTGAATGGAAATGCTCCAATTTTACCAGGAAAGTATAAGAAATATTAATATTACCTGAGACTCTTACCAGTTCCTTAATAAAGTGTTACAGTTGAAGGTATATTATGTTATTATTATTACAGTTCATCCGTTATTGTAAATATGCAACATTTTGTATTATATAGTCAAAGAAGTTGAATATAAGACGAAGTTGATCTAATGATGAGCATAATTAATATACTACTTTTTCTTTGAGTATAAACATACAAACTTGGGAATTATTATTAATCGAATGCAAATATTAATAGTTTAAGTTGGTTGATTAGTTTAAGCTGATTAATTAATTACGAGAGTAAATGTTTTACTGTTTTTACCTTATTTTAGTTTGTTAAACAAGACGATTGTCTTTAAGATAATGATTATTGGTAGAATAGGGTAACCTTTATATTAACAGAGTAAATGACATTTGATAATTTGCATTAATAAATTGATTCAGTTGTAGTTTACTCATTAAATGGTAAACATAAACACCCCAATTGGGACTCTTGTTTTAGATAAATTAATTGCAACCTTATCCTCTTCCCTGCGTTTTAATGACTATATTAAGAATAATTTTCCCGAGTCTAAGACAATCAGTTCACTTCGTTCAACAATTAATCAGATATTATCATATTTTTTCGTTGGTACCGCTAACTTGAAAATCGTTTTAATTGCAAAGATGGTACAAAAAAAACGTGAACTGTTCAGAATTGGAGTGATTCGCTGAAAACTTCAAGGTCTCTATCGATAGATGAATATATTAATAATAGCCTAACGTTCAAAGTTTCAGGTCCGTAGTAATAAAATCTCTGCCAAAATCTCTGAGTGAGCCAGAAGCATAGGTGGAAGAAATACTAATCTTGTAGTGTGAATAAAACTGTGAGCTAAATCGCAGCTATTTATTGGAACTAAAGAGTTAATTTAATTCATGCCTGAGCAAAGAGTAGAGAGAAAGAGACAGCACATAACAGAAAAACTACAGGGCATTTCACCAAGTATCCAAACAGTTTTTCGCGAATAACTTTTTTGTCTTTGGGTATTTAGACTCCAGACTCGAGTTATAGGAGTTTGAGCGATACTCGATGGTCATATTTTAAGGTCAAGGTCATTCAATGACAAATACTTTTTAAGGCTTCTATGTACTCTCAAGCTCACCCAAATGTCCAACCATTGAGACTCATATTACCAAACTCTCTTGATAGAAAAATCAGTTTAAGCAGTGACATCTATTTCTCTGTATAAGAGTATTGGTCGAACAGTTGGGAAAAAAGTTAACTACAGGGTGTGTAGAAAGTAAAGCACAGGGGTGGAGTTTAACCTGCGTAAATAATTAGCAGTTGATTTAATTTACTAATTATGATCGACTGACTTTGTCTTAAGTCAACAAAACTATTCAATGTGCTTACACTTTGATTTAAGTTCTATTTTTATGATGGTTTCAACTGAGAAAAAAATATTACGAGTGAAAATTCAAAAACTTCATGAGAGTTGTTTAAGTAAATCTGCAATTGCAGCAAAGTTAAATGCCTCAAGAAAAACAGTAACAAGGTGGATAGATCGTGATAGTGTAGAGGATCAAGATAGACCAGGTAGACTGTCGAAAGTGACTCCGGAAACAAAAAGGTTCATTACGAATATTTAAAAGAGACAACATCGAGTTCAATTCGTGAATGTGCTGTGAAATTAAATCTATCTGAATGTTATCAATCAAAAGAAAAAGAAATTTCACCTTCAACTGTAAAAAATTATATTCAATCAACTGAATGGGGAAAATGTGCATACAAAGTGAAAAAGAGATTTATTCTTAGTCAAACTAACGTTTATGATCGACTCTATTTCGCCGAGTATCTAACTAATCAAGTGTATTGTGATTCTGATTTAAATGGATTATTGAAAAGATTCCATATCTTTTATACAAATGAGTCATGGATTCAGTTAAAGTGAAATCTTTTTACTTATTCAGTTAATGAACTTCAGTATTTTCTTGTTTATTTCATAACATTCATTTATTTCTGTAACATTCAATGAGAATGATCCAGCTCCAATATTATAATGATAACTGTATTTATACATAATAGATAATATGATATGAACAACAATTTAAACCGAGATTACAATTAATTTATAATATAATTACATGATAATGTTTCTCTTTAAGGTTATATCTGATAATTAATGGCATCAAGTTCATTGGTCAAATGAATCACATGTTAATCATGATAACAGAAATAAAATATTTCATTATATGAAATTAACTTTTCAGATTAATAAGAAGAAGGTTAAAGGGTTAAAACAATTAAAATCCATCAGATTATCGATTAATCCAAAAGATTTACACATATAATATAATCTGAGGTTGGGATAATTTCATAATCTCTGGGAATGTTTTTGGTTTGATTGTGTATATGTGATGGTTATCATTGTATCTGTTGAAATTAGTTAATCTAGAAAGATGATAGAAAATCAATGATGGAAAAAAATCCAATAATCTGATAGTTTTAATCAGAATTGTGAATAGCATTTCCTAGATTTACGAGAATTCAGTCAGTTAACAATCTAATTGGATGGCGATCGATTTAATTTCAATAATGTGAACTCTCCAATTAGCCAGATTGACTCATATTCGTCTCAGTCGTTATTTAAACTTCGGCGACATATTTAGCAGGACATGAAATGGCTTTATCACTCATCCCAGTTCTAATCATCACGATTCCATCTAATTCCTCACCAACTTGAATAATAATCTACCATGAGAGATAAAAAGGCAAACATAATTATTAAAATAAAAGTCTTTACAATATTGATAATGTTTCACTTTGATAGGGTCAACATTTACCTGATCTCTGAGTAGCTTGACCATAGATCCTTCACCGTCACTCACTTGAATCGTGTGAAGCATTTGAAGCGGCCTTTCACCAGAATAAAGTTTAGCCACATATTTGGATGGAAATAGGCCAACTTGCCCGTGAGTTTTACCTTGCCACCAATCTGGATCAGTCGTATCAGTAACAGTCAATGTTGTCCCCGCTCTAAGAAGCCATTTCAAGAGATAAATAATTTTCTCGATTAGTAAGAAAAAAAAACCAATCAAAACAGAAAAATACTCACTTTAGGTCAAGTTCATCTTCGTGACGACCTCTAAAATTGTACAGGGCCACGTACAAATTGGTTGGTAAAAGGCGTTGTGGTTTCTTATTGAAAGACTGTTGCTATAAATGAAATATTATTAATAATAAAAAAGAAAATGAAATCTTTTCATTAGTTTTTATTCGTAATGAGAGATGGCGACAGCAAACAGAACTTTTGAAATTCTGATAATCTTTCAAGTTTTTTTTTTCTCTGTTCACCAGGTAAACATAATAATCTTAAACATAATCGAATAATCTTTGAATACTTTAAACTTATCGACGATGGAATCATTAAAATATGTATATTTCTACCCACGGAAATAAAAGATTATCGAAAATTGATTTCCAAGCTCAATTCATGTGAAAGAGATAATATATTTCTCCTCAATTCAATTACCTCAATCTAAGGACAAACTGTTGCGTGTTAATTTTAAACAGCCAAAAATGGTAATGATTTAATATTAAAAAATATTAATATGATGATAGGAAAAGAAGAAGACAAAAACCCTGGCAAATCATATCTCATTATATTCATTGAGTAAACTCCGCTCATTGAAGAGAAGATATATTAACTGTTCATTTGAATATTATCCCCATGAAACTCGGTAAGAGAAGAGAAAGAAAAAAAAAATAATGGATATAATAAAAGTCCATGAATAATGTAAATGAATAAAACTAGAAGAAGAAACTTCTCCATTGGTAACAAGATCTAATACTTATTACCACTTACATTGAACTTGAATATTGACCTAATTTCATGTTCTTTTTCTGTTCTTATCAATTTGAACTTCATCTTGTTTACTATTGCAAAATGTTCATTGTCACCTTGAGAGATCACACAATTATCAGCATCATCATCATCATCATCATCGTCATTCAAACCTTGTCAGTTGATAACTTGCCAAGAATCAACAACAACAGTTGACTCAACAATTAACATGACAACCATATGAGTTAAATCATAAGATTTGATGTTTAAATTAACGATATTGACAATCAACTGATTGTCAATTGGGTTCATCTTTTTTTTTATTCAGGATGTTAGGTAAAAAATAATATTACCGGTGATGGACAAGGCGAGGGTGAGGCACTTGCATCGGCATTTGTATTGGGTAGGTCAACTGAATTCATACGAATCTTTCCAAAAGTAGGTTTTCTTGGACTCCCTGTATTTGCTGTATGACAATTGAATCAATCATAAAGAAAATGATTATAAAAGTGTGATAAATAAAACGTCAATGGTGAATGATGAGAATGATGATATTTCCCATATTCATAGTAATCACAATAATAATGAATGGTTATGATGACGATGATGAAAAGAAGAAGAAGAAGAAGATCCAATTGTCCAATAGAAATAGAACAAAAAGAAAAGATAAAAAAAAGAGAGTAATTTGATTCGAATTAGTAAAAGTACCAACAGAGAATTGATAATCAATATGACAATGATAATGAACGACAAATAGATCGTAATAATAACAATTACTGAGCAAGAGAAAAATAATAATAATCAAATCGAATTGAATATAATGATTATATACTTTTACATGTAATACGATCAGAGGATGCTGAAGATGAAGAATCAAATGGTTCCGAGTAAACTGTTGGTTCATCCAGAGGAATTGATTGTGATTTTGAAGATGTTCATGAGTAGAATTTGGGTCAGAAAGGAAAGAAAGAAAAGAAAGAGAAAAGTATTACTAATTTTGTAGATTCGATTTTTCCAAAATTTTGACTACATGGAAACGTTGTAACGTGCATTGTTAGAGGTTCATGTTCGAGAAGAAAAAGTAATTAAGTAAATGTTTTATGTACATTGGTGAAAAATCGTACATGAGGTATGATTTGAATTCGGTGGTCGAGCTCGTTGAACATGCTGAGTCGATTCGTCCAGTGAGAAACTTTTCATTCGTAGGGAAAGTTTTTTTCGTTGTGGACTATGAGGAGCTAAAGGAGATACGATGGGCAAAGGTTGGAAAAGATTAAGAAAAAGATATTAGTTTATTATTTGTTTTCCAATTTTAGTTTTTATTCTAATCAAAAGGGAGAATAATCACGAAAAAAAAGGAAACGGAAATCAGAGCAAATTATCATAAAGTTTTCTAATTCAAAGTTTTCAAAACATTTTAACAATCAATACAGTTGATTAACTTTCTTTAACTAACGAAAATGTGTCAACAATTTTATGAGAATTAAAACTTTTCAATGGTTTGAAAGTTTTGTTTACCTTTTCTCACGAAACTGATGATTTAATTGCTTCAATTAAGTGAATCATTTACAGTTAATTAAAAATCAATTAACTTTACATTTCAATTGCAATTTATTTCCATTGAGTCTATGATATATTATTTTGAGTTTTTTCATTTGATTGCCTTTGAATGTCAACAGTTAATTGCAGTTAATTGTAAACCAATCGTTCAAAAAAGTTGAATAACTTTGGACCATCTGATCTATGCTAATTGTCATCTATCAATGATTAAACTTTGCTGATGATTAAGTTAATCACAAACTAATTAGAAGATAAAAAGTGTTTACTGAGTAAACTTTTAATTCCGTTCAACTTTAATCATGACGTTGAAAAAAAGCTCAGAAAAAAGATAAGTATGTAAGATTTACGAACGTTTCTCGAATTTTCTGATTAGAACTTTTGGTCTCTTCCTCTCTCCTTCTCTCTCTCTCTTTTCGTCCCACTTAATTCAATTATTTTCAATTTCCATGATCAATAGTTTGTAGTTTCTCTCTTCATGATAACAGATTAATCTGTAATGATTACATGACGATAATGGTGATGATAAAAAACAAACAACTTCGTGAGAATAGAAAATGTTTTTTTTTCTTAGAACTCATTTAGAACTTTTTTTCCGGTTATAAACACAGGGAATTATCATCTGCTTTATCTCATCTGAATCCAAGTCATGAACTTAATGACCATGAAAAGGTGTGACCACAATGGAGAAAATTCCAAATTGACCATGAGTATCGTCAAGACAAAGGTGAAAGAAAGCAAAAACTTTGAATTGGAATTGAAACTTTTGGTTTTCATTGACAATTCGATCTCATTGTAAAAATAATAGATAATTGTTTTGATTAATTGTTTCCGATTTCCGTTTTCTTTACTCCCCTCCTCTATCAAGTAAAGTCTCTAATGACCAATTTCGAGAATAAAAAGAAATCACCATGTCACCTACCTGAACATGATGCATGCATTGAATTGGTATTAACAGCAAGAAGATGGGAAGATGATGATGAATTTGAAGATGAAGTTGAAGTTCTGATTCGTGCATGATGAGGAGGCATTAGACTTGAGACAAGATTTGAAAAACGATCATGAGCCACCGTGGGTTGTGTTACGGTTACTTGTGAATCATTGATTCCATGGTTAAGGTCACTCATTGAGGATGGATTACGTCGAACCTCATTTGCAGTTCGAAGTAACTGATAAATTGGATCAATTGACGGTTGTTGTTGTTGTGATTGTTGTGTAATAGATTCTGTGATAATCCAAAGTGATCAATAGTTGCAAGAGACAATTAAACAATTGAATCGATAAAAATGTCAAAATATTTATCGTAAATGATAAATTATATTAGAAGGGAGAGAGAGATAGAGAGAACCGATTCACCTTTCACTTAGAACTTTTCTTTCTTCAGTTCGATATTTCGCTCTTTCTCTCTGTTAATATTAATAATAGACTCCATTCAATATTCTGAGTTTATTTACTAAAATGATTTTATCTTCAACATTAATCATCATCATCATTGATTGTTATCTTCAAGATGAGGATGATTATAATTCAATAGTATTCACTTGAACCAATCAACGAGTAAATATTAACATCTAGTTTGATTCAATTCTGTTTATTCATATAACTTGCCTGCTCATTTTCAGGATTAACCCTGAAAACAATACCATTATCATCATAATTGTAATCATATCAAAATACCAACAGTTATCATAATAATTTAATTTCTCTCTCTCTCTCTCTCTTGATTAACATGATACAATGTGATTAACTAAAGCAAATGATAAACAATTAACCTAATTGCAAATATATTAATACAATACAAGCATTCACAATTAAACGTAATGAGCAATAAAAATACAGTCGTTAAACTTTTGATGAGCTCTGTATAATTGTTACAGGAGTTAGACTATTTTTACTGATGTTTTTCAATTTTCACTATTCGAGTGCTAAATACTCGAGTAGTTTGATTGATAAAAAATTTTCATATTAGGGTCATATTTCATATATACTTAAGGTCATTAAGGTCACTGGTGAGCTGCCACGTTCGAAAATACTTTGATAAAAATGTTGAAAATTGAGAATCGCCGATCGAGAAAACAACAGTGGTAACTGCGTGTGGATTTAAATCTGAGTAATGAAATTCTGCTTGTTCTCATTAAATGTATCGTTAGTAGTAAAGAGCCATTCAGAAGAGGAAGTGGGGGAAAATTAAGTTTTGTGATTTTAATAAAAATTTCAAAAAATGAACAAAACCAGTCACATGGATGTGTAACCAAGTAACTGTCCACATGACCATTTTCTTAAAGGTAGTATCTTTAATTGATTAGGTTTTTGGTTTACGTTTTTTATTGAAGTTAATCTATTGATTTCTCACGTAAATCAAGATCATCCTCTTATTAACTTAAAAAGGCTATTCTTTAAATTTTCTCTGATTTATTTATACGCAATCGGTAAATATAAACGCACAGATATATTATTTCGATGTGATTTCTTAAAAATTGTATTCTTCTTTTAATATGGGGTCCTGCCAATGTAAGTTTGTCTTCGATGAACTTACGTAGATCTACTCTTAGTAGTAATGAAACATCCGCTTCTGAGCCACTCAAAAGCGGAAGTGGAGGAAAAGAGAAAATACAGACTTATACCCATGAATAAAAAGTTTCCATTAAAAAACTCAAATTTCCCAGAATTATAAAAACCAGAATTAAGTATCTGAATTGAACTGATCTGATACTTTTTGTTTACTTTCAACATTTCTTGCTTTTACATTAATTTCCTAAATTTCCAAAGTAATTTTTGTTGTTTTTTCTGATAAACTTTTAATCGATTAAACTGAAAAAAATGTTATTTGTCAGATTTCCTATAATTTAACATTTCATGGTAGGTACGTCAACATTAATTATTAAAATAATGAACACAGCTAATAATACTTTATGCTATATTCCTACAGAAACGGTATATGATCAGAATTTGAATGGTACTACTACCGATACAACAATAACCGTATTATATTATAACGCTATTCTTATAATATCGGTAAGTGATTTACATATAACAATTTTAGAAAACTATTAGACTAATAGTCTATTGGTATTGATGATGATTGTTTTATAATTGTGTGGGGCGGCACTCACTTATTATAAAAACCCATGATTCAACATTTAAGATGGAACAAAACTCATTTTCTTTGCAAAAAATTGAAAACTTACTTGTGGCGCATTGGTGAGATGTTTACCTTTTATATGCAATGACATGGCTTCATACCACGTTGGTGACAATTTCATTTCTTACGCAATATAACTTTGCTATGATTATGAACATTTTTCTGTATTAGGAATTTATCAACAAAATGAAAACTTAAAAACGACCTAACCGGAAGCTCCTCTGCGTACTGATGAATAAGGTGAAGCGACCAGAACTGCAAAAACTCGACTGAATGAACTGATAGTTGCCAAAAAAGCGCATTTGGAACAACGCATCACTGCTTCATCAACCGCCAAATCTAATTCTGAGGGTGAGTTTGGCTAATGAACTAACAATAATATAACAATAATTGTGATACTAACAACAGATTAGGTAAGGACTCTAGAATAGCCTTACTCTCTGATCGTCATCAAACTTTTTCTACGTATAGTTCCTTTCATGAGTGTCATACACACAGTTTTCGAGGAAACTCTTAGTTCAGAAGATACAGCTAGCTAAAAGTCGATTTTTGTATAGAGGCTTACGGAGTAATAGGAAGTTTCATAGAGCCATACAGAATGATGATAGAGCAATGCTTTTTTCAGCACATATTTGTCACTAACAGTACTATACAGACAAAATTATAGACATCTAGATATATCAAATCAGTACATTTTCTGGGTTCAAAGTTGGATTTTCAATGAAATAGTATATAACCAATGAACCATGTTGATTTGTGAGTTAAATAACCTTCAGTTCACTTTCAAATTTAAGAACATAAGACTTTTTTTTATTAATGTTAATATTAAATGATATGATTATGGAATCATCTAATTCTATCATTTGATGATCTTGAGGTTCTAGAGTTTATCTGCTTAGCTCTTTGTTTAAATCATTTTAAGGGTCCAGGTCTTATCTGCTTGACTCTCTGTCTTTGGATCATCTTGCTAGATCAGCAACTTTATTTTTTCATAATCAGTCATTTAATAAAATATATTAAAAAGAAACATGGCTCAACAAGCACCCGGGCGATATATACCCAGGGTATGCATATGATAATAATCTTTCTTCACTTTTTCAATATGTTTTTTTACGGCTATTGCTAATTCGGACGAGTAAGCTCTGCTTCTAAATGAGCCGACCACTTTGCCTATCTTCTTCTAGGTAGACGTTTCCTCCGCCATAACCCCAATCCCAATAGTACTCTCGCAAAACTGTCACAAAGTCTTCAGCGCGTACCTTGAGATACATAGCATGCATACCCTGGGTATATCTCACATGCCCGGGTGCTCGTTGAGCCAAGTTTCTTTCTAATATATATTATTAAATGACTGATTATGAAAAAAAAAAGTTTCTGATCTGAGCAAGATGATCCAAAGACAGAGAGTCAAGCAGATAAGACCTGGACCCTTAAAAAGATGATTTAAAGACAAAGAGCTAAGCAGATAAACTCTAGAACCTCAACAAGATCATCCAAATGATAGAATTAGATGATTCCATAATCATATCATTTAATATTAAACATTAATAAAAAAAGTCTTATGTTCGTAAATTTGAAAAGGTGAACTGAAGGTTATTTAACTCACAAATCCAACTTATGGTTCATTGGTTATATACTATTTCATTGAAAATCCAACTTTGAACCCAGAAAATGTACTGATTTGATATATCTAGATGTCTATAATTTTGTCTGTATAGTACTGTTAGTGACAAATATGTGCTGAAAAAAGCATTGCTCTATCATCATTCTGTATGGCTCATGAAACTTCCTATTACTCCGTAAGCCTCTATAAAAATCGACTTTTAGCTAGCTGTATCTTCTGAACTAAGAGTTTCCTCGAAAACTGTGTGTATGACACTCATGAAAGGAACTATACGTAGAAAAAGTTTGATGACGATCAGAAAGTAGGGCTATTCTAGAGTCTTACCTATTTTTCAAATGTGAGAAGAGTCTGTAGAGCCTTTTCGATTACATCTGCATTGAATTTTTTCATTCGATTGTTGAGGGAATTTTCAGACCATAGTCCCATAATGACACCATCCGATGCTTTAATCACTTATAATGGCCTGAGTTCATAAGCATTCCTAAGTAGTACTTATGGTTAATGTACTGATGGTCCTGCAGTGACTGACAATAGATTATCCAATATAAACTAAAAATCTAAAGCTCATTCGGTTCATGACGTGTTTGAAAGTCATTTGAAGGACATTTTACCAAAATTTATTATCAACCACATTTTCATAGCATTAAATGAGTGTACCGTCAAATGTTATGACGGATTCTCTTAACGAAAATTTTTGCTGATCTTGATAACAAACTAAATTGCTCAAAACTTGTGATCTAGATCAGAAAACGATCAATAACGAGTTAGCTTCATACGTTTCTTTGCACCGATAACCTCAATGACCTTGGTATTAGAATATCGAGTAATACACAAATTCATCAGTTCATAGATCAAGTCTCGAGGACTTATACTTTTAGCTAAACAGAAAAATGAAAAATGATCGTTGAAATAGTTGAATTACCCTGTACTTTTATGATTAAAGTATTGTTTGCTTACTATTATTATCATTATTATTATTTGAATAGAAATCTGAATTTGATTGTTACATCAATTATACTCATTAATACTTTAAACCGATTGGTAAATTAACTGTTAATAAATGATAAGACTAAATATTAATAAAATATGGTAAAATTATACTAATAAAAGTTATTATTAACTTTGGTTACTTCAAATTTTGATTTTATTATTATTTTCAAAATTTGTATTGTTTAATTTGAAAAGTAAACTTTTTTAATCAAATTGTTGTTGATTTCAAATGATTAGTTAATTAGTTTTATGTTTAAGTTGATTAACTTGGGAAGGTAAAATATTTACATTATGTTACTATTATTATCTCAAGTTAATTTGATAAAATATTTAGTGAGTAGGGTTGGGTTAATGCTCATGGAAATTGGTTAATTAATTTACTTACTTTCATCATCCATTTCATTGTAAACTAATTTGGCTTCAATTTCAGAAGTTGACTTTTGACGACGAAGTAGTTTGGTTTTCGGTTGCTATTTATATATAAGTAAGATGACCAATGTCCAGTTGAAATAAATATAGAGATATATCAAGAGAAAAGTAAGAATTGATAAAAAATAAATTAGTTCTCTTCTAATTCTTTCTCAGGTTTGGCTATGGAAAAACGTCAAAATGTAATAAATCAAATTTTCTTTGGATTAAGATTAAATCTTATCTAGAAATCTAATTAAACTTTATCATTTCGTAACTTGAGACTCATGATGATGAAATTTTCATTTGATTTAGTGAGAGATTAAATCAACAGTTGAATAATATCATGTAAAAAGATTAGAAGGAAATTCAAATGAATTGATTATAAAAATGTTTCATTTCATGAGGTTTTAATTTTTCCTTTGCGATAACTTTGATTATCTCTCTTGCAATCTCCTATTATAAGGTGATAATGTTCATGGTGATAATCATCATGGTTGATTTGTAAGTGAAAAAAAGATTCAGGTGACAAGCAGGAAACTGTTGAACCATAAATGTTTCATATAATATTTCAGGGTAGACTGAACTTTCATATTAAATGATTTCGGATGAAATGTATTCCTCAGAATATCAGAACTGACATGATGATCAACTTTTACAACATCTTCATTGTAGACAACTTGACTGAAGTGATTGTAATGTATCATGGTAATGATGATGATGACCATGATAATGATGATAATAATAATAATCTGGAAAGTATTGTGATTAACAAAGGAGATTGAAATTGAAATGATGCTTATTAGTATATCTCATGAAAGTGAAATTCATTTCATTTAATCAACTCATTTTTTCACTTTTTCCAATGAAATTTTTCAGTTATTATCTTTATCATTATTTCACATCATCATCATCACCATGAAAAGGATGCTGTTAGTTCATCATCATCATCATCATCATCATCATCTTCGGTTGACCAGGTTTCTGAATTCTTGTTATCATATATTCAATGTTATATAAATGTTTTCAATCTTATCAAACTTGGATGACTATTATTTCACCTTAATCATTAGCAATCTTGAATTCTGCTCGGCTGATCAACTTTATCATGATAAAGTTTCCGTTTACCTGTTTGACCTTTTTTCACTCATCGTAAACTCCATCATGCTCCATGAATATCATCATGAAGTGAATATCAACAAACAAAACCAAGAGTAAACCTAAAGTTTTATTATCATTGTAATCTACTCTATCCTAATACTATTATAAATAACCATCATGAACAACACCATGATATCATCTGGTAGGTTGAATTTGATTCACTTGAAATATTATCATGGATTTGAGGAATGGAAGAGTTATTGTTGCTCAAGATTAACTTTCATGGAGAATGAGGTTAAAGTGAGAAAGAATCCAGAAAATTGAACGATCTCATGGAACGAAAAAAGTTCTGAATATTCATAATATTAATGCTTCTTAGAGGTCACTTACTTGGCACTTGGTGGCTTTATCGGTACACTCAGAGTGAGCGTTCAGCTTGCACATTTTACACTTCATTCCTTGTCTCGAATGTCCTGTGGTAAAAATGAAGAAAAAATTTTTTCAGTTCGAAGTTGGAAATTTCAAAATCTATTCAACTTTTCATTTGTTTTCATCTTTTTCAGGGTAAATGGCAATCTTACCTCTTAGAACTTCATGGCAAATGTCACATGGTGTTATCTTTTTATAAGTATATTCAGTCCAAACATGTTGAACTCCATCATACAGGTAAAGTGATGGATTAGAATCAGAGTTCCTACTTGATCTCTTATCATCAGAATTTCTAAAAGTAAAGATAGAAGAATAATATGCATCATGAGAATAGAATGAGAAAAAAAAGAAAAGAAAAGTTTTTGGTTTCCAATTTTCGATTCATTTTTCAATTAGTAATAATAACTTCAAGTCATCAGTTGGAAATTCGTTTGAAACTTATATTCAATTTCCATTAGTGATTCTCTTTTGCTCACATTGGAATTAGGGTTAGAAAAAGAAAATGTTGAAAAAAATATCAATCTACTTCCAGCGACTCCCCGAAGATCTTCATCGTTCACTATTATATCATCATCATCATCATGACTCTACTAGAACAACATGATATATATAAATGAAAAAGCTCAAGTTTTACCAGGCAAGAAGAAAAGAAAACAACAAACTAAACATTCTGAGTGAAGGTGAAAAAAGTTCGGAAGAAAAAAATGAGCCTCAAGGTAAAACACCCAAAGGTGAGTCATTATTATCTGTCACTTGATGAGTCCCCATCCCTTAACCTCTAATTTTATCACCTCGAAGATGTGTCATTATCATGGTATCAAAGTGAAGATAATGTTAACTTAAACTCCTCAATTTTATCTGTTCATTTATCGAGATGAGAATCAAATTGAGTAGAACAAAAAAAAGTTCAATCTTAATGCTGAGTAAAAAAAATCAGGGACTGGAATAAATTCTGAATTATATTATGGCAAGGTGAAAATCTCTCCATGTATGCATCAGTATAAGAAATTTGAATAATCAGAATCAACAGATGAATCATGAGTAAAGATCTGAAATAAAAACCTAATCGTATTCAAAATCCACAGAGTAACTGAAAGATTCAGGTTTTTTTTCCTTGTATGTAAATAAAATATTCAGGACAAAGTTCAAGATTCGTCATGAAGTATTTATATTATATGTTCCATACCTTTCATTATTGTTTGGTGTAGATTTCAAGCTTTTGAAAGCCTTGAACCATTTCATCTTAATACTTGTTGTGCTTGTCGTTGATGATTTCCGTTCTCGGCTCACTAGGAATCCATTGTCTCCATGAAATTCACGCTCTTTTGCTGTATATAACTCAATCTGTCAGAGTGAAATGTAAGATAAAGGAGGTGGAGAGAGAGAGAGAAACAATAATAGACAATGTTTATGAATATAAATCCAGGAAAAGACGATGAGAGAGAGAGGATGATGGTGAAATATTGAAAGATTTTATTCTTAGCAAAAAAAGAAAAGAAAAGTTCTTATCGTCATGAGAGGTTGAACTTCTCTTTCAATTCTCATCGAACTGATAATTTCGACCCATTTCCAGGCAATCATGTGGATTCAATGAATTCTGACAGATTTTCTTTTTCCTCTCTTTCTCCATTTTTGCTTCAATCTCTCTTGAGGAAGATTTCAAGTGTAGATACACAACAAAAACGAATTGATAGTAAATAAAAGTTCACTTTTCACTTCGTAATCGTAAAACTGAACGATGAAATATTCAGACAAAGATACATGATATTCATCATGATGATTAGAGCCTTGAATAGATTCTCATCATTTCTTTCCTCAAATTTAGAAACTAATCTTTTATATCTCAATGTTTTTCTTCACAGCTTATACAACAGTATATCTCATAGTATATCTTTTCATCTTTTCACCTCAATCATGAAATACAACTTTTCATTTCCTTGTTCAATCTTGAAATTGGTATTTACACTCGAAAAATTTATCAAACACCAGACTGATAATATCATTTTATCATGAACCAGATGAATATATGTTAATAAACATTTCCTCTTTCTCCAATGAGGGAGAAAATACTAACTCTGTTACATGGGAAGATAAATATCATGATTCATTATATTCAACTGATCCAGTAACAGGTTTGAGCTTTCAATTTTGTTACCTGATACCTGATGGTTTATCTGCCTTGTTATCATGGTGATAAAAATTTCCAAGTCAACAATCAATATGAGAGAAATATGAGCAAATCTAAAGAATCAGAACTTTTTTTCTACAAAATTCGAAAATCAGAAAAACTGAATCATTGAGAATAACCATCATAATCGTTCATCATGCAATGAATTCAAAGAAAATTTCTCTCTCTCTCTCAATTTAGATGATAATGGTCACATCAGATTCATGGTAAACATGATATCATGGAGAAGAGGAAGAAGAAGAAAAAAAAGTTTAATATCTTATATGATAATGAGAAGAGTAAATATTTACATCGATTCAGAAAATGGCGATAATGAACATGAACTATTAATATAAGTTGAAGAAAATTGTAACTTCCTTTCAGAACTTGAATCATTCAAGCAACATGATAAAATGAATTTTCCACTTCCTTCTTCTCTTACATATAATTCAAAAGTCTTCTCATGAAATTGAATTGAATTCGTAGATTTATTTTTTTCTTATATAAAGGTAGAAAATAAAATTCACTCCAAAAGCTATTAAATTATTATCATCACCATTATGGTGACTATTCAAAGCTACAAATCAGATAATAATGATAATGTAAATCTTTGCCATAACCCTCAAGGTATTACTAGATATTATTACATGTACTAGTACATGAGCTAATGTGATGATTATAAGTAAGTGAATCTAAATCAGATTAAATTGTTCAAATTATCATGATGAATAAATGAGAATGAAGCAATTAATTCATCAAAGTTTATTAGGCTTATTTGTATGTTTCAATTTCATCACCTAAATCACATGAATGATAACTTATCATGAAGAAGAAGCAAAAAAAAAGATAATGATTATGAGTCTAATTATATTAATGATGGTAACAAGTTGATGATGATAATGATTAGATGTTATAATATATCAAAAGGTGAGAATTGAACATATTAGATAAAAAAAGGTAAACTTATCATGAAACTTGGGTAGAGGGGTTAAGGTGATATTCTTGATGATATTTACCTGTGATTTAATAGCAGCCATGTGCATATGAGCTACATGGAGATCAAACTTTTTCAAGCAGATCTCTTCCTGTATCTCATTAGCTTTATTGTGAAGGTTGGAATCCAGGCTTCTGTCATTACCATGACGCGTGAATATGATTATAATTATGATCCCATGGATGATGGAAAAGGAAGAGAAAGTTTTTTGTTTAGTAAATTAGAACTTTTCTTTTCTTTTCTTTTTAAAGTTCGAAAAAAAATTTTTCAGAAGAAAAATTTAATATTATATAAAGGAAGTGGAACCAGAAAATAACATGAAAAGTTTGTATTTGTTTTCTTTGTACCTTTGCTGTAATTTGAGAAGCGATTCAATTGCTTCCTCCAATTGTTGTATTTTCCCGTCTAAATTGTTCAGTTCAGATTTCAATTCGTCCAATTTACTTCTGAATACATATCGGCATGATTTATCAATATAAAGTTCATTTGTTAACACGGAAGCAACTTCCTGATTGATTAGATATGAAAAGAACAACATAAATAATAATCAACCAGTGAAAAAAAAGCAAGAAAAACAAAATCTTTGATTATATCAAAGAACATCAATAAATCATGATTATCAACCATGATATTGAAAATGATAACTCATATGATGGAGATTGTTTCTGTTAGCGATATTATAATTTTTCCTGTTGTTTTCTGTTCCTTCATTTGTTTCAATTTCAATGAACACTACAAACAAACTAGAAACAGAAAAGAAACTTTCTCTCTCTCTCTCTCTCTCTCTCTGAATAGTTACTAATACTACTGAATAACTAGAATTTCAAATGATTCAGATTCATGGTGTTGTTACTGGTTAAGTTTTCAGTAGAGAAAAGGTAATAAGCTCATGATGATGTAATTCTATGTGTTTGTAGGTGGGAGTGATGAAGGAGGAGTGGAAAGAAAAAACTTGAGCTCGAATAAATTATTAGTTGGAACTTTGTATTACTTTTTTTTTCTTCGTTACAAAGTAATAACATGAAATTATGATGCAACAATTTTGATAATAAGATTTCAAGTGATTATCATTTTGATTATTTATCAATTAACATCAAGATGATGGTTAATCTTTTCCTATTTTCTGTTATCATAATTTTCAATCTTCTTTTTCTTGTTATTATCTTTTTAAGTTTTTATTATTGATTAGAGATGATTTTTGATTTTCGCTGGGTTAAGATATGAAATACTCACCGGTGGGAAACTAGAGGCTATCGTGGTATCATTGATTAAGGCTGGTGACACAAAGGTGTGCATTCGTGAAGGCATTGACGATTTGTCCACGTTCAACCCTTTTATATATGGAACTAGGTCATTTCGTCCATTGGTGACACTTTTAGCCGCTGAACTGATCGCCTGATAATGATTACTTTGCTCACGAATCTGTTAATTATATCAAAAGTATTTAGATGAACTTGTTAATTGTTATTGTTGTTAATGGCTGAGGAGGAGGAAAATAAAACATAAATATTATCCTAAATGATACATTGTTTTCATTTAGATTAAACTTTTAATTATTATAAACAAATTAACTCTACCAAAGTAATTAACGAAATCGTCAAGATAACCCAACGAAAAAGGTATAAATTTTTATCATTTCAAAGTTAATATCAAAGTATCATGAAAGTTATCATGATAAAAGTAAATATTTTTCAATCAAACTTGACAATTTATATTATTTTTTCTGTTTTCCCTTTACAATTAAGATAATGACAATCAGCAATTATGAATTTGATTACAATGACAATTAACTTATCCCTCCTTCTGATTAGTGTTTAATTTAAACTGGATACAAACAATGATTTGAGATTATACAGTTAATCCGGTTTTGAAAATGATAACAAACTTTTATCTTAATTAGAAAATTGAATTAAAGTGAAACTGGTTCATGGTGATTTCCTTTGAGAATCAACATGGTTGCTTATTAATTAAAGTGTCATAATTAACATTCAATTAAGAGCATTGGTCTGAATTAATGGGATAACTTATATTGAAATAAGTTCAATTTTTGTTTGTTCAGGATAAAAGATTAACAAAGTAATACAATCTCAAAAGTGATTAACGTTCAGAGGTTAAAATCTTATATTAAGATGACAAAAAGGATTTAAGGTTTAAGGATTGATAGAGGAGATTAGTAGTAATCTTGAAAATACTGTTAACAATTGATTATTATCTTAATCTTGATTAAGATAATTAACCCAGAGAACTGTAATTCTAACAGTTAAATGTTCAAATGTAACTCAATACATGATATTATTAATACTTGATGATGATATAAAAAGAGAGGAAGAGGAAAACATCACAATTGAAGATATTAATATGATAATAATCAATAATATTAAATATAAGGTTGGAAAAAGTTGCAATTGTTTCAATATCGATTCATTTCTTGTATTAATAGAAATCTTTTACCATAATCTTGTTATTCCGAGATTTTATTCCAATTTTTGTTCTCTATCTCAGTTTCAGAACTTATCTATTATTTGAGTTGAATTTTATTCCAATCAGTATTATGATCAATGGATCTCTACAAATACATGAAGATAATCTGTTATCTTCATGTAATATAATGATGATGTTTTAACATGAAGAGGAGGAACAGTTTATCTTCAAATGATATTACTCTGAATATTATCAGAATTGAACTTAAATTTTTTTTCCATACAAGTTTTATCAGTTTCGAGCTCGATTTTTGTTCAATCTATCACTAGACATGATGGATTAAGGTCAATCAATATTTACCTTTCAGGTAAAAAAACATTGGTCTAAATTGTCCGAATCAATTGCTTTCCAATTACAAACGATGAGATATTTTATATATACTCCATGAGAAACTTCATTAAATTCATTTGATCAGAACTTTTCTTCCCCTCTTCTCATCAACCATGATAATAACATGATAACAAAAAGTGGTATAAGAGTTTCCCTCTATTCTTATCATGAATTAGTTGAGGAAAAATAGTTGATTGTTAATAGAGAAGAAGTATAAAAAATTAACTCATCGTAACAATCAACTAATAATGGATAACAAAAGGATTGATTGTATGTTTATTACAATAAAAATCTAACTTGGAGTTTATAATATTACAATCAACTGATATTTTCCTTTAGATATAATAATGATAATCTCAGGTAATCATCAGAAGGAGATAAAAAATGATTGATAATCTTTGTTACTATTTTGATGATGATCAACAATCACGATCAATTATCATCATGACGATGTCCAGTATTCAACATGTGATATAATGAGCTTTTATATATCAAGGTAAACACCACCAACAACAACAACAAAATACTCAACAGAAAATTCATATAAACAAGAATTAATTGGATTAATAGACTGAATCTAATTGAGTAATTGATGAATTTTTCAAATCTTTTATCAGAACTTTTTTTTCTTCTTCTTTCCTATTGATTTGTAATGAGCCCAAAGTTATGAATTAATGATAATGGTTATTATCATGTTATATTTACTCATGATGTCGATCATCATGAATTCTTGTTTTTTTTTCCTTCTTCTTGTTATTACCTTAGAGTAGGGTGGAGCTGATGATGAAAATTGAATGAAAAACTGTCAATATATTATGAGACTATTTGGATCTGTGTCGTTTTTTTGCTAATCATGTCCACTAAACTGATGGCTATTCAATGGTCAACATGATTGAACCTGTTGGATCAATTTGATTTCATATAAATAGCTCATGTATTACTGATCAATTTGTTGTGGTTACTCGTTGTTTCAGTTTCATACCATTACTTTCACATTTCATGAGATTTCAAGGTTTTCCTGATAATTGAATTAGTTACAGGTAGGGAATATGAATGCTTTTGTTTTTGGCTGTTCGAGGAAAAGTATTATTAAGAAAGTATATAGATGATGATTGAATGCTGGGAAACCCTCCCTGATCACAAAAAGATTCATGATCATGAAGAATATTTTTTTTCACCATGATAACGATTCCCTGATTTCGAAATACTATCAACATCATCTTTAGGTTTTTCTTTTGCCTTCTAATCAATTGAAGGGTAGCTCAAGCTCTACCTTAAGGTTGAATCCCTTGGAATCTTTTCACATTTAATTTTCATTAATTTTCATTTTTCTTTTCTTATTTAAAACAATTAACATTTTGATGTGAAAACTTGAGTTAATCTAATTAATCACTATTACCAATTACTCATGTTTAACCAACAGAAAAAAGACAACAGACTAAAGTCTCCAATTTCTGTTAACCTTATGGTTTATCCTTATATGGTTAAGCCTTTTGGCTCCTTCTCTTTTCTTCACTCACGTGATTACCAAGAGTGGGTAATATTAGGCGCCAAAGTAAACAAAAGGAGACGTTTTCTTTTCTCTTGTTCTTCCCCTTTTTCTTTACGTTACCCTTGGATACTGGATAAGCTTAAGCTTAATCTTTATCTCCCTTTCATATATATAAGAAAATTACTTTAGTAAAAAAGAGTTAAGATTTAGATCTTATTGAAACAAGATTAATTTTCCACTTTTGTGAATCTTTTTTAATTGTCTAAGTTTTAAAACTCAAATGTTAAAGAAAATTACCATTCTTATTTGTGTTTATCTCTCTTACATTTACTTAGTTTACCTTTTCTTATTAAAGTTAATAAACATTATTAAGTTCAACGGAAGTGATTAAATCGATTCTTAAAGTGTTCAATTGGGATCCTGTATACGAATCTTATTGACTTGATAGTGAGGGCAAGTCGGAATCTCCATTGAAAATTACACCTAAAGCTTTAGCTTAAAGAAGTTTATTCCATTCGGATATCACTTGAGTGTATTCTTAAAATTGTGGTGATAACCATTTCAGATTAACTTTAGTTGATCATCATTTTTACCTTTCGGTAGTAATTTAATTTTACTTTTCCCTTCACTTGGCGAGGTCGCCAGGATTTCAATTGAACTCTATTGATTATCTTCATTTCTTAAGAACAATTTTTGTGTTTCAATTTTAACAAACTCTTTTAATGGTTGCAACAACTCGTTCTACTGTGAGATCGTCTTCTGTTGAAACTCCATATCGTAAGAGAAGTTATAAACCTCGATCAAGAACTGTTCATCCACCATTACCTTTAGAATCATCTCCTGATTTAATTCTAAATCAATCTTCAATTCCGTACTACCGTTACCATGGCAAGTATTGGTCAATTAGATTCTCAAGAACTAAAGATCTTCTCGTACAATTCAATTGTGTTGTACCACCGACAAGCTTCTTAAAGAAGAGTTTGTGATGTCATTAAGACAAATTTCATGGTACTTGGTATTTAAACGAAACTGAAATTGAAGCTTTATCACTTGATGAAGTAAAGTTGATTCCTGAATGGTTAACCTCTTGTCGAAATTCTGGTATTTTAGAATCGGAACTTCAGTTGATTATCTCTCGAATTGGTCGAGATATGGAAAGTGTATTTTCCGCTCCGGAATCTGAATTACGTTTGATTCCTTTACCTTTTGGTACCATTCTTAAATTAGCTAAGGCTAAACAATCAATCGGTTTACAAACCATTGTTGAAGATGTTCAACCCAATCGTCCAACATCACCCGTTGCTTCTTTTGCTTCACAATCACGGAATCAAGAACATGAGTCACATCAAGTGAACAACATTAAGACTTTGGTTGATAATCTCAGTGCGGTAATGACCAAAGACCCAAAAATTGTTGAATTCGTGAAAAATGAAGATATGCGCGAGTGGATTGGAAAAACTGTTCATCGACTCTCTTTAGAGAAATGTGATGATGAAACTCGACTTCGGTGTTTCAAGAAAGGTTTAACTAATGAAATTCTTCATATGGCTAAACGAATCGATGGTAACATAACCGATTATCACTCTTACGTCAAAGCATTAAAAGAAATGGTAAATATTCCTACTTTGAATGCTCATGATGCTTTTAAATTGAGAAATTTGGTTTACGACTTTTCGGTCCCACCACAAATTTTTATGAACAACGCTAGAGACATGATGGAGAGAGTTAAAGGAAAACTTACTGAAAAAGGTTTTCTATTTGATCTTCTCAATCTCCATATCCCAGAAAATATTCGAGATGAGATAAATCGAGCAGGTCATAATGACGATGAGATTAAAATCATGAACACTTTGCTTTTGCATTATCATGATAATGAAAAGAAGAAACAAAAAGCTAAAGCTGATAGAGCTAAAGCTCAAAGTTCGTCATTCCAATCATCTAAGACAAATCAGAAAAATCCAGCGCCAGTTAAGACTTACCCCAGTCGCAGTAATAAGCCCAATCCTCGTTACAAGGATTTAACTTGTCACATTTGTCAGGAAAAAGGTCATGCCCTGGTTGTCCTAAGAAGAACAAAGGGACAGAAAGTAAACAGAAATCATCATCTTCTGATCAATCT